TACTGCATCCAGTGTAGACAATATACACCGTACGTGCGCCGTGCAATGTGAAGTGACCGATGTGATAAGCATGAGTTCTGGGCTGCGGCGCGGCCGGTATAAACGCCGGTCCAGCCGCGATCAGCTCTGGTGGCCGTAACACAGGCTTTAATGCGCCGCAGACGCGTGCTGTGATGCGCAGATCAGCTCTAGTCTCTAACGTCACTGAATCTCCTGTTAAAAATAAGCCATCCATTCATCATATCATGCAAAACTAAGAATTAAAATCATTGTAATGTGACGATCAAATATAGGTGCGGGTGGGTGGCGGGCGGATTATTTAAGCAGCGGACTCTGGTGAAGTTTGAGCTCATCCGCGCATCTCTACGCTACACTGACCTGGGGCCCGTTCTTCGTACGTCGCTAACTCAGGTAGCTGGATTTGATTGTTGACGATTTGGCATGATCTTGGATTGTTGTCTTACACACATACTATACAGATAATGTAGAATCGTGCATTAATTTGAGTGATGACAGCTATTATGGGAGTGGCTTGGTTGAGCGCAGGAGATGCAGATAAAATGATTAACATGATCTTGAGCCTTAAGAAACTTAACAAATCTGTTCAAATATAAAATTAAATGAATTGCTAATTACTACATTGAAATAAAAATGTAAAGCCTGTACAAATATTAGAAATCGTGAATATAAATAATTAGGAATCATGTAAAAAATGTAAATAAAATAAAATACAGTGCACATTTCATTTATCTATTATAACATTTATGTAGTTTTGTTCGCTTGGCTGTTTCCTTATAAAAGTCAAAAAATTTGTCAAGTTTTTCGTCAGGTGTCTTTTTTAATGATATGATATTACGTTGCTGTCTTGCCGCTAGCCAATCGCTGCATTGCTGATCGTGGTTTCGAGTATCGATACAGAGCCCCTTTTAAACCAACCCATGAACGCGCAATTATCTCATAACTCAATCCAGCCATACTATTCATCAACAGCAGGTGCGTTCGAAGAACCGAATTAGCCAGATCCTGATTAGTGCGATGATATCATCTTGGATGTGACATTTCATCTCGGATGTAATAAGCGACGTACGAAGAATGGGCCTCTGGGTCGCCAGTAGCAAACAATGGAGCGCGCTCTGCTGGACAAACTAAGTAATTACACCATTCAGAAGAGTTTAATCTGCGTTATATGTTCTGTAAAAAAAAAAAATTTCATATCGGCGGCATATTCGCCAATACCGATATATCGGCGACAGGCTCATATCGGCCGATACTATCGGCTAAACAATATATCGGTCGGGCTCTAATTTTCACTGTGTGCTGTATGTAAAATTAATGTTACTTTATTTGAAAAAATATTCGGCCTATTCCCAATGCACACAAACTGCCTAGATTACTGAGTGCCCTGTTCGTTGCAGTTTACTTCCTTTTTATATATATATATATATATATATATATATATATATATATTTAAAATATTTATTTATTTGTGAAAAATACAGTAATAGGATAACAGAATCAAGAAGTTGTCATCTCAAGTATGTTTGTTTTACGCATTTATTTTTTTAATTCATTTTCAAATGATTTTTAATATCTTAAATACAAAAGTATGGATGGATGGATGGATGGATGGGAGGGCTTTATATTGGCCATCGGTCACCCTGCTTTCTAAGATATCGGCATCAGCTGTCAAAAACCAATATGTCGACCACTAATCCTGATCAAAGCCTAATGACGGGGCTGAGGAATGGGTCTGTCTGAGATAAATTGGGACTCCTGAGGCGTACAGAATTAATCTGCTGTACCAGAATGAGAACCTGCTTTACACCCGGAGAGCCACACACAGGGGATAACAGCTCCAAAAGTGCTTCTGGACCCATTCTGCTGTAGACAGAGTTTGGTGTACTTCTGCGATAAGCCCTCACTAGTGAAGCAGCTGAGGTTTGAAGGTGGATGTGTGGGTAGGTTAAAAATATAATTTTACTGTATTTTAGTTTTTGCTTGACTATGAATGCTTGACTGCGATGGTTGAAATTATGGTACTTTTCATTTAAACCATTTCAGAGCAAATAGCCATTACTGTAAAAAAATGCCTACTATATTTATCAAACAAGACTGAAATATATATATACATGGAGCACTTTTACTTGGAGCTCATATAATAACTTTACTTTCCAAAGAATATTCCAGTTAGAGCTTGTTGGGAACATTGTAGGTGGGTTCACATAATGCCTGGAAATTATGGAATTTCTCATGAAAAGTACGCAATGGATTGAGCTAAACATGTTAATGCAGCCACACTTTGATTTGCCCTGGACTGACTTTGTCTCAGTTGGGGTAATTGATTCAGACAAATGTTGACATGCTTCTAATCGCATGTTTGACATTATAAGCCTTCCATGAAATCACCTAGACTCTAACTTAGCTTTGAGAAGCCTTTCAAAGAGAGAGATAATGCAGCCAAAAAACTAAAATCCAAAAGAATTATGTGAGAGGGGGCGAGTGGTTGCAGGCTGAGATTTGTAGGTAAATCCATTATAGTGGGGCATTACTATAGACATTAGATGTCTTTACTCTAATGCAATGCAGAGTGTTATTGGTGTTTACTGTCATTAGCGAGGCCTAATGATCCCTCACAAGGAGCCATTAGTGCCCACATTTTTCCAGTTCACGCACGTCCCTGTTTGCAGACTAGCCCTTTAACCCGGTCATCAAAAATGTGCACATCAGCACTCAGTAATGCTTTACTGTAATTAAAGTTCTTATTCTCCAATACAATGACGCTAGTGTTCGTCGTATATATCTTTTAAAGGGGTCATATGATGCTGCTAAAAAGAACATTATTTTGTGTATTTGGTGTAATGAAATGTGTTTATGCGGTTTAAGGTTCAAAAAACACATTATTTTCCACATACTGTACATTATTGTTTCTCCTTTCGCTTTCACAACGAAGCACACAGCATCTTTACAGCATGGCGGCGGCAACAACAAAATTACAGCGAGAATAAAAGTTACGCCTTCTTTCTTTTCGTGAACATTTGGGCGGCGTTATGCAAATCTTTCCAGATAGTGACGTAGGTATGTGGGGGCGTGTTAGAACGAGCCGTTTTAGGTAGGCGTGGCTGACTCTTAAGTTTTATAAAGAATATCTCTTTGGATTTGAGACTTTAGTCTTTGCAACTTTACAGATCTTCTTTATGCACCAAGAGCTTGTAACACTCCAAAGATTGGAGAAAAATTTCAAAGAAAAATTTAAATCGCATCATATGACCCCTTTAAGCTAATGAAGCACTATGATGCAAAATAGTGGCTAAATATTATCAATAATAAACTATGCATTTAAGTAAAGCATTGAAATGAATGTTAAGACAGCATAGATTAGCAGATGTTTTGTCGGTCTTCCCCACTCAGTCTTACTGTCACCTGGCGAACGTTTCCAGGCCGTAAATAACAATGAGTGAACCAGTCTGAGATAACCCGCGTCGCCCCAGCATATCACTGTCTGTGTCACTGTATCCACCTGACCTCTTTTCCTTACAATCCCCTCCTGCTCTCTCTTTAGGCTGGTGTGCTTCATTGATTCACAGGACCTAAAAATCTTCTGTCTCTCCACCCTTATTCTTCTTTGTGTGTGTGTGGCATCAGATTATGTTACTTTGTGGCTTGTGTTATATGATGAGTCTCTTGTGCGTTCTCCCACACTTCGCCCCCTTAATTGCTCTTAACTACATGCATACTAATGAAAATAATATTGTTGTAACACATTGTTTCTTTTAATACAATTTTAGTACCATTTATTACAAAGCACTCTGGGAATGATTTCTGAATAACCTCCACGCTGTTATGAAAAAAAAACAGCCAGTAATTATGGTAATTTAAGTCACAGAGTCCAAGTACATATGGTAAACACTGTTCATTATAAGTCGAACACGAATGGATGTAATGATTTGCGGTTCACTCATTTAGTCAGATGTTTATTCAAAAACTACTGATTCAGTATAAGGTTCTTTAGAATGATCTAAACCGATGAATCTTTCTGTCTGTATGAGTTTCTGACTTGTATGCTGCATATTTGTTTTTTCGTTTTCTGTCAGCAAAGTCAATGCAATTGAAAGACGTATATGTCTGTTTATTGTCTTTGTTTTATTTCACAGTCTTCTCCGGCTCTTTTAACCCATCACATTTGATTCAGACTGCAAGCTTATAATGTATGAATATAATTTATTTTGCTTTGGAGCTGTAGATTTAGCAGGGTTACAGAAACTTGCTCTGTTTTTCATTTGCAGAAGAAATGCCTGTGAGTAGATTGTCTGCCTCATCATAGAAGCTGTGAGCAGTGTAAAAGTCTGTGATTATTGTCCCTGCAGTCATATCTCCATTTTTCCCCTGACTGGAAGATTTATAACAATAGAATAAACCTATGTTGGTTTGTTGGAGAGATTGATGAGGTTTGTTTGTTGTTAATGTACTGTCCTCTGTGGGAGGAGTTCATTTCTTCCTTCTGTGTGTATTTGTATAAAAATACAATTAATCAAAAATAAAGTTTAAAATAAGTTTATTTTAATATATAATTTTTTTTTCTGTGATGACAAATCTGAATTTTCAGTCTTCGGTGTCACATGATCCTTCATAAATTTGTATCTTTTTATCATTTTTATGTGATGGTTTGGTACAAAAATATTTATTTTAAAGGAAAATCTATTGTAACATAAAGGCCTTTGTCAGTTTTTTAAATCCAAGGTCTTGCTAAATAAATGTATTCATTTCGTTAAAAAATTCATTTTACTGACCCTAAACTTTTAAACAAGCCACGGATGTGTGTATGTGTAAAATTATACTAACAATTTATATAATATTTATACTAATATTTATATTAACAATTTATATAAGTTGAACATTTTATAAAACATTTTATATAAATAAAATATAGACTGGCTCCTACACTTTTTTTTAATTGCAATTAAAGTTACTCTTTACTGATATATTTCACTGTGTGCTTGCAGGGAAGAAGAGGAGAGCCTTCGTGACAAGATCCGGGCAGATCATGAGCGGGCACTGCAGGAAGCCAAGGAAAAGCTCCGCAAATCCAAAGAGGAGCTGAAGGCAGAGATCCAGACAGAGAAGACCAAGGTAGCCGAGGACCTGAAGAAGAAAGATGGACCCAAACCACTGCCTCCAGTATCTATGCCCAAACTGGTAGGGGTCAATAATGGTGACCCAGGGGACCCTGACACCAAGGAAAAGAGGGACAAAATCAGAGAGGTGAGAGGAGTGTGTGTGTGTGTGTTTACATGCTTTAAACTTGCAAGCACACTCTACCTTCTAGTGTTTGCTACTCATGTAGATGTATTCTCTCTCTGTAGTGCTTTGGTTGGAGATGAACGGAAATTGTTTTGTTTGTTTTTAAATTTAACAGTTTTTGGCCATTTAATCTGTTGCATATTTAATCAAACCAGGCTCGTCACAGGCATAATTATCAGCTTTTGAAAATGGGTTGCAATCTTGGATGAGAATAATTCTGAGAGAGTTATAGCCACTGGCTGATTCGTTTTAAATGCTATTACAGATTTCCACTGATGTAATGTAGAGTTTGATTTTCATTCTTCCAGATGTACCACAAAATGTGTCTTACTGTGTGAGATCTGTTCCCAAATGAAGCAGATGTCTATTGGAGTTGGAGTTAGAGTTGTTTGCTAAGGCAGGCATTACGGCTCCGATTCTCATACTCAGGGTTTGGGATTTCTTGCATCATTCATTTTACGGACGCGAATAATATTCAAATCTACTTGACTTTTAATATTGATCAAGTTTAATGTGTTTTAGTTGGCGGTGACACTTTAAGACCTCTTACATAAAGCTCAACAGCCTGTGGGCTGCAGATGATGAGTCAGCACAGCTTGCAGTAAATGCCATTATTTTCACTTTCAAATTGCTGCTTGTCTCTAATGAGCCCATAAACCTGGAAATAAATGTTTTCTTTTGTTTAGTACTTTTTCTCCCCACATAAGTGTGTGTGATTGAAAGTGATGGTTATGTCCCAGGAGTAATTGGTGTCTTTGAGTGTAAACTGAGATGATTGTTGCAGTAGAGCTTTTCACCGTGCAGCTAAACTCTGTCTAATATCTTCTGTAAATCCCAGGTTAAGTCACTTTTAACTCATGTAGTTTTGAAAGAAACCAACCAATTTTAACCTGTTATCAAAAACTGCTCTGTTGTCATCCAAGATGCTATCCACCCTGCACAGTCTCCCTTCCTCAATTCCTGATCAAAAACACTACTGTGATTACTGGTTGAGAGTTAAACGGGTATTCAGTAGTTCTTTAGCTAGTATTAGCATTGCCCTAATTAAAGTCACTTGAATCAGCTAATCAAGGTCTTCAGACTCACTAGAAACTTCCAAGCTTGTGTGTTGAAGTTGGTTGGAAGTTGGAACTAAACTTTGTTGACCCGTTGGCCCTCCAGGAGCAGGATTGGACACCCCTGGTGAACACCATAAAGTGCTGCAGTGATGACGTATTTTTGTAGGCCAACCTGGAAGTTAGCACCACCCTGGTTCCTTCGATTAAAAAAAACAATAGGATTTTCCATTGGCTTTTGGATTGTTGCAGGAAATAAGCTCTGCGACCAACAAAAGTTTATTATCCTTACACGCTTCGTTCATCATAATCTTCACAAATGAACATAACATTTATTAATTTTGAAGTCTAAATACAATCGCCAGCCAAGTAAAAATCTAAACATAGGCTAAAAACGAACAATACCACAATCGCACAACAACTTTCAGTTAAAGACTGTTAGAATATTTTGTGAGAGTGTGAGTATAAACACGTTGAAGCCGTAAAAGTAGACTAGTGAGTAGCCTCTCACTCTGTAGTCACATGTAGGCACTTGTTAACAGCCACTAACCAATTTGTCTCGTTTGATTCAATTTGCATAGTTGATTGTTATTTTCCTGTTTATTACTTTTTTGAAACAATCTGTATTGTATAAAGTGCTATAAGTAAAAGTGACTTGACTAGTAGTTAGGGCTGGATTTTGACACAAATTTCACGATTTGATTCTCATTCACAAGCTTTCGATTCGATTACCGATTCGATTCGATTCAATATCGATTATTTTGGATACATATCATGTACAGTACATGCCAAATTTTCTCAAGGAAAAAAAATCTCTCAACTAATGCTGTAAAATATACATGAGTCAGTTGGTACTACATTATAATATTGAAGGTTAGAATTGACTGATTTGTGCTGTACAAATGCTTAAATTGCACTTAATGAAGTTTTTATAATAATTAAGTTACAATTACTTCAGTTAGTTTTTTTTAAATATACACATTTAAATAGTGGCTGTCATAAAAACTTGGAAGGATTTATTCAAACACAAATAAAGCATTAAAGAATGGTAAAAATTATAATAATGGTATATGGTGCATATATTTAGCAAAATGCTACTCTCTAGAGTTTATTTTTCTGGCTGACTATCGAGTTTATGGTCACCAAATATGCTTTCTGAGGTAAATGTGATGTTACATGAATTGTTTACAAGCTGTTATATTGACGTCTTTGCGCGACTGAAACACTAATTGAGAGATTACATGAGACAAGATACGGATTGTAGAGTTGTAGTCTTTCTTTTAACTTACCTTCGGATGTTTAGTCATGTTTATTTTCTGCTGAAACTGGAATTAATGTGGAGGAGATGATCAGGTCACGTGCGCCTCGCGCTGCCGCGTCTGTTGTACTGAGGCGCTACAGCTAGTGTTGTCACGGTACCAAAATTTCAGTATTCGGTACCAATGCCAATGAAAATCCACAGTTCTCTGTATCAATTTCGGTACCAAAGCAAAACACAAAAACATACTAATTAAAAAAACACAAAAATAAAATGTACAAAAATCAATGCCATTCTTTATACTTATTTAAAATTGTTTCAAGTTTTTCCGCAAGTAATAAAAGTATGAAAAAAAAGTAAACAAGTTTCACCCAAAAGTTTTTGTCATATTTCTGCTGCCGCTGAAAAGCATATGTAAACTGTTGTCTGTTTTAGGGTTTGCTGGTGTGTTTCAGGATCTTCTTCAGCCTGCAGTTGTAAAAGGAAAATATAATATACTCAAGTAAAGCAATGGACTGAGTCTGACCAAATGCAACATTAGATCATTGACACAAGCTATAATTTAACTTTTCAGTAAATAACAAACCTCAGCTTTTATAATAAATTTTGATAAGATTACATATATTTTAAGTCAAGTGTATATCAAATAGATGGACACTGTAGTATTAAAAACACTTTACAATAAGATTCCTTTTGTTGGATAACATGACCTATCAATAAACAATAGTTATATAGCAATTATTCTTCTTAGGGTTAATTTAAAAATGTACTAATACATAAAATCAGTTCAATCTGTTAAAATTATTTAATGCACAATGAACAAACATGAATGATCAAGTGTTTGTATTAAATAACATTCAAAAACATTAATGTTGTAAAAAATATATTGTTCACTCACTATAAGTTGATGTTAGATAGTCTATACAGGAAATAAAATTTGACTGTACTTTCATTTAATCCAAACTGTGTACATATTTAGTTATCTATACCTGCTAGAGTTATCCAGCCAAGAATAACAACTAACCAACTAGCTAAAAAAAAAAAAAGCCCAGAACTGTTTTTCTGACGGACTGATATGACATAAACGCTGTTAACCATTTGTACGTTCTCTAACACGCATATTTTAGATTCACAATTCATTTAAAAGCCTCTGGTGTGTAAAAATAGTAAATACCACCATGTCCTCCTGTTTTTTTTGCCCTAATAAAAGTTATAGGAGCATTAAATAGTTCATAAAGAAACTTAATTCTAATGCTCATTATATTAGCGTCAGCCGCGCATATGCTAACTACTCAAACGGCGATGTTGATTTCAATCCGTCATTCAAATTAAAATATGGAATAATATTCATAACAGAAGATGGAAATATTAAAAATAAAATTGAAACTTACCTGCTTGAACTCTTTCATTTGATCCGGGTGTCAGTCTTTACTCGTCAAGAACCGGGTTGACCGGGTACTCGGTACCACCGGTACTTAAAAAAACCTGGTACCGTAACATTTTCATTTTTTTAAGTACCGACTTGGTACTGAAGTACCGGGTCTTTTGACAACACTAGCTACAGCGATCTGTCACTCCACATTAAACAGAGCCAAAACAGCATTTATTGTTTGAATACTGCAATACAATGGACATAAATTTAAATCTGAAATTGTTTCATATTTAAAGTACCAACGCACAATGCTTATTGCGATTTATTGGATGGGAGGTGCGCTTCAATGTTCTGTTCATTAACTGAAAACAGGCAAGACTAATTGATTTTTGGAATTTAAGAATCAATATTGTTTCGTAAAAATGAGAATCTGTTTTAAGAATCGATATCGTTTTGTAAAAATGAGAATCGGTTAAAATCGAGATATCAATATTTTTTACCCAGCCCTACTAGTAGTAGTAAATATGCAAATAAATAACCAAGAGTTTACAAATGTAGTATGAAAAACATGACTACCTTTGATTAGTTACTAGCCCCAGGGTAATGTGTGAACTAGTGCTGTGTTCGATACATCGATACGACGATGTATCGTCACAGAGATTTGACGATACGAGTATCGATACAGCTGTCCCAGTATCGATATTGTGGCACGTGTGCAGCAGAGGACCGCGCTTAATTTGAATACAAGAACAACGTTTAAAACGGAGTAGAAAAGTGCAAGGTTTCTAAAAAATAATGAATAGAGCATAATATATAGGCTACAACAATGTTTAATCTTGCCGCAGAGGAACACAACCGGGGTTGCCTGATATAAAGAGACGTAATCCCCAAAACAGAGTTTCCCACTTGTGCAATACGGAAACATCTGCTAAACGTGCTACTTACCTTTGTCAACCTGGCAACCCTGTGTACGCTCGGTCTCTCCACTGTGGATAAACGTGCTTGCTTTCTGAAAACACTGGCTAGCTTGCAGTTTAGCGATCTCCACTTTGAATGTCTGAGTGCGGCCGCAACGTGATCTGACTGAGCGTGTGTGTGCGTTAGATTCAGTGAAGACAGCGCATAAGTTTAGAACTCTTCTAAATTTTTTATTTTTTTTTTAACGTAGAGTGTAGGGGTGTGCGATATATATCGTCTGCGATAATATCGTAATTGTTGTTTTAACGATGTGCGATTTGACATTAAATCAGTTTAAACTTATTGGAAAAGATTAATT